TATAATGGCTTTATGTGAATTTTATATGTATTAGATATACATTAAAATATATAAAAAAATATTATTTATAAATAAATAAATATGATTTATATAAATATTACTTATTCAGTTCAATAAACGTAATGGAATTATTAATACTTACATATTGCAGGAGGACGTGGAGCAGATGTTAAAATTGTGTTCGCGGAAGGATCTTCGCTCTCAGATGAGGAATAAATGTTCCTCGCTCTATATTTTCTAGAATATTTTATCTTTTCTGACGTATCCATAGCCTTTTTTGCTTTCGCATCAGCCTCCTATAAAACTTAAAATATTTTAAATATTATCTATAAGTTAAAAAGATTGTGCCACAAGATAAAATTTAAAAGCGATTTTAATAACTACAGTACGTACTACAATACTCGCCAAAAGTTCGAATAATTTTAAAAGATGTCCAATCGGAATTTAATTTTTCTTCTTTCTCAACCGCTTTTGAATTCTCAAGTCCGTTTTGTAATGTAAAGGATATTTATTACACGAATCATCACTTTAGTCTCGCTTGGATACCATCTGAAAATTGTGCGACGACAAATCTTCGATTTGACATCTTCCTGAAACTCTCAAAAATAATAATTTGAACGAGTATTATTGTTAACAAGTCTGTTTGTATAGATGGTTATGCATATATAAACTTTTATTACTTCAAAAATTACGAAACAGAGAGCAATGCCATATTATTCAGGAGCGGAATTACTGCAAAATATCCTTCATTTATGTATGGTAATTTTATAAATTTATTAGTAATTTTATGTAAAGACCAAACTTGAATATCAGATAATTGACTAACTTTAAAAATGCCCAAATGTACAGAACTGTATGGATAATTATAAAGTTCCTCTACAACTTGAAATTTACGACCTACTGTAATGTAATTACCTTCACTCGATGTTGCAATATTTTCTACACAGACGATATCTTTTTCTATGAAACAACAGTTATCAGAAGACTTGAGTGAAATAATAAAATCAGGAAATTCAATCTTGGAAAATTGTGGACTAAAGCAACCTGATATCATTGGTCCTTTTTCATGTAAACCCTTAACATTAATTTTTGGAACATTTACATTGTCAGAATTTATTTCACAGAAACTCATTTCCGCATAGCGATTGCTAATTTGCTCTAATGGTTTCTCCGATTTTCTTAAGATAGATTTCAACTCTTTCATAAAATTTTCAAATGGAAAAGCACTAAAAGTATCTAATGGTCCAAATTGTTTTACGCAATCAGTTATATGTAACAGACCATGAATATTATGGGATGCAAATTCAGGCCCATAGATTTTAATAAAACATTCAACGAAATGTTTTAATAATTTATTTGCATATTTAATATATTCGATTGTGCTTTTCTGA